GATAGAATATCTTAATTTATTGAAATGTTATTTTTTATTAGAGGGGATACAACATACAAACAATACTAACGTTAGTACGCTTTCATTCACTAAAGCAAACTTAAAACTGAAATTTTAGTGTGCTTCCTTTCTCAATCCACTAATTGGTTACATCGATTTTGATTTAAAGATATTTGGTACACTTGCACGTATGTTAGGGGGCAACATCATAGAAGCTTTCCGTCAAGAAATTTAGATCCATGAAAGGTGAAGGTCCACGTGTCTCTCTCTTTTATGGTAATTGAATGATGAAGGTCCATCAACACATGATATGCTTTTACTTTCTTTTTCGTTTGCAAAAGGTCTATGGTTCCACAATACAAGCAAGTCGTCTTTGGAAATCTGAGTCAGCTAGCTAACACTTTCGATTTCATCCCATCACCCTATCACCCTCAATGTACGTGGTGGAATGCAAAACACTATATTTTATAGGTGTCTACTTTTTAGCTTTGAGAATTGTACGTGAACGATGAAATGACAACGACCGGAGACATCTATGCTATCAATATAACCGACCTTTGTTTTTTCTTTTTTTTATCACCGACGATGTTCTTTCTTTGCTTTCCTGAAAAGCTAGGAGCTTTCATTCTCTGCTGCTCAAGTTGTAGGATGTCAGCAAATTTGCGATATAGTTACAAACAAAATCTAAAGTTATATTGTTAAAATTAAATCGTAAGTATTGCAATATAGCTATAGATATCTAACTATGCTCCTGACAATATTCTTACAGTTTCAATTTTCGGTAGGTAAAGAAAAACACCTTTAGGTTACATACTCACGTGCATAAAATCATAGATAAATAAAAAAACATATATTTGTAAACCATAGATAAAGACCAATGCCCAATTGCAATGACGAAACAATGGTTACCGTATCACCGTTTAGCCTCACTATTTGTTGTAGCCAAACATATTATTTAGCAATACTTTAAGTCGTTGCAAAGTTACATTTTACATTTTGTAACAATTATAATCTTTCTAAAACTAATAATTGGAAACATAAATCATTGTTAAAGTAATATAGAAAACAACTTTAGTTATTATTTAAAAGAATATTTACAACAACAAAAGTTGTTGGAAAAAGATGTATTTTACAACTATACTAGTTGCTGCTTGTTTCATAAAATGATATTTTATTAATATAATTAAATAACTATAGGTCCCTGGATGTTTTAATTTTTATGGGATAATTATTGAAAAATAATTGAGAACTAATTTTTTCATATAATCTTTTCATACAATCTTACATAATTTTTTCCAATTATGGGCTTTAAAGTACAACAGGTAGACAACCTATCTGGTCTTCGTTTTCGGGCTGTTTTGCATATGTAAGCCAACCTGGGCCTTTACAAGATGTAACCCACTTCTAATTTTTCGCTTAAAATTCCAAAATGCTAAACCTAGTTCCGGCCATAGAAGATTCAAGTGCTAAGAAGAGAGGGAGCAAATCCAAAAACAGAGCCATGACGAGGTTTGTACGATTTCACATTTGTCATTTTTGGGATCGTCGTTGGTGAATCTCACAATGGATCTCACATTCTTCCTTTTTTAGGATTTTGATATCACATATGTGCTTTTTTTTTTTGTCAACAAAGAAATTAATTCTTTATTAAAGAGATACAAAAGGTACATTAATCCCATTACAAAACTACTTTAAGAAAGGAGTTAACATTTGATTAGTGTACAACATAATGGCCATACACATAATCCTATAGACAACATGGTTCCCTGCCATTCTGTTTTGCAAAAATAAAACCTTCGCAGCGGGTGGTTCCTATAAGCTTCCATAGGATTATTGTACCAACTCACTTGAGACAAGTCCAGCAACAATTTTGCTTTGATCCATGAAAACAAACAGAATTTAATTTGATCTATAACCTGTTCAAGGTTCTTGGACTCCTTCAATATCAAACTATTCCACTGTAGCCATATAGACCACACCGTGTAGAACCATATTGCTGTCCAGGCCTCTCTGATGATTTTTGTTCTAACGAGGCCCATATGCCTTTTTTTTTTTTTTTTGATCAGCAAACAAGGACCATACGCTGAGACAAGTGTTTCCATCCACCCTCCTGTACCGCCACCTTAATTCCCAACCAATTATGGCAAGAACTCCAAACTTTCCATAAAACTATACAGGAAAAAGGAATATGTTCCGAAGTCTCTGTTTTCTCCCTACACATAATACATTTTGCTGCATCAGAATCCGCAATCCGCAATCATTCCTCTTTTCAGCAAATTTTCCTTACTCGGAATCCAGTTTTGTAAAGCTTTCCATACAAATGCAGAAATCTTCGAAGGTAGTTTGCTGTCCCAGAATAACTTGTATTGAGGATCCATCCTTCTATTTTCAACCTGGTTGATGATTTTATAAGCCGAACTCACTGTGTATCTGCCTTTCGAATCATGCTTGCACATCCAGTGATCCTACTTTCCTTGTTTTAGTTACATTCCACTTAGCATTGAGATAAGCTCATGTAACAAGTTAGTTTCATACACAATTCCATTCCCCATTATTCCACCCTACCTATTTCTGCGATCAAAGCATCTTTATCCCTTGATAAACTAAATAATCTATAAAACTTCTCCTCTAGTGGCCTAGCTCTCACCCATACCTCAAACCATATATGTGCTTAGTTTTGGTTGTTTGAAAGGTTTGAATGTTGGCGTCTTGCAGGCATATGCCTCTCTAGGATCTTTGATTCTCTGGCTCGTGGGTTAAAGATTTGAATGTTGCCATGTTGGTATCTATATTGGTTACAGGCAAAAACCCATAGGTTGCCTTTCAACTTATAAAGTTTGAGGGGTTTTGCCCCTCACCTCACAAATTATAAGAATACACCCTTGAACTACTGGATTTGATGAAATGTGGCGACATTTTAACGATTGGAGTCAAATGTTGCATCTGAAATGTTTGTTCTCCGTTAGCTATTGACACATCAGTGTTAGATGGGACCCAAATTACAAAGCTAGCACTGCCAACATGGTTCATGGTCAACTCCCGTCTGTGTGCTCTGCCTCTAATGGCCCAACTTTTTTTTGTTTAAACAACATTATTAATTGAAGCAAATTGAGAAAATGGAGCAAGTTGATTGGCCAAATGAAAAGTTAATATTATTATAGACTCTCAACCCCTAAAATTTTTCACCAATAAACTTATAAAATTGTATTTAAAAATGAAAAAGGTATTTTTTAATACGAAATTGTATTTTTTTATACAATTTAGATATAATTATCAAAATACTCTTTTTTTTTTATAAAATGTGAATCTTATTTATCCAATAATACTGTTGAGTACAATCAAAGTAGCAAAATGTGCTGCCCAGTCTAAAATACAATGAAAAAAATTGTTGAAATAATCAACTCGTCACAATTTTCTCAAGCCCCCATTGCAGCGCAATAACTAGAGACAGGGAGGATGGCATCCCGCAAGCTAACTTCATATTAAGTATCAATAATTAAAGCTGTCTAACTCTTGAAAAACTTAGTTAGAATTCTTCTATTTCTCTCCATGCACATGATAGAAATTATTATCAAAATACTTTTAATGGATAAACATAGAGAACAATTTTATTAAAGATATTTTAATAATTTTAGTACTCAAACTAAATAAAAAAAAGTATAATCCTTATTGAGAAACACTTTTACGATTAAAGATTATATAAAAAAAATCATAATTAAGGAACATAAAAGTAGAAATGAAATGAAAATGAAAAAAAGATGCAAATCTGCAACAATCTGCAACCCAGATTCTGTGACAGCAATGTAGAACCACAAAACCCAGCCAACATATATCTGTATCTTTCTATCTTCGCATTTTAATTTACCTGGTGCTTTTCTCTTGAAGATTTGCGCTGCAATGTGTATGAGTTTAAATGTTATTGGAGCAGCATGGAAGGATTTTTGTAGATTAGATGTCATAGAAACGGAGAAGATGGGATGGTTGGAGAAAGGTCCTAGGTTAGAGGAAGATGGAAGCAATGTGACTTTCTAAATGGTCGAATGGTTAGAGATGGAAGTGTAGCTAACAAATTTCCAAGACTTCTTTGGCATCTGCAGGGAAAGACAAGTAGATGGATCAAATGGGGACGTGGGACAATGGAGAATATGTGTATGGAATTCTCGGTTAGGTATAATCTCTTTAAAACTGCAATCATGTTAATGGTTGGTAACTTTGGGTAATCTGCATTATTTCTTTGGCAGTCAGCCTACTGTGTATTGAGAACCACAATTGGACATAAAGAAACTTAGGGATCCAGAGGAATTCTTTGAAAGGCATTATTATGAACTGACCCCATTTCATGTTTGCCATGCAGCTGCACAGAAACGACAGGTGTTGTTCTTATGGATTGGGATCTGAACAATCTATCCATGAGTGAACGACCTCGTCAGCTGTGGAAAGTAATAGCAAGCCCACAGGTTGAGCTCCCACGAGCTGGAGAACGAGTCTTCTATTTTCCGTAAGGACACATGGAACAAGGGAATGTTTGTGTTTAAATTCAAATTTCTATCTTTAGATGAGGTAAATTATTCCATTTATTTATGGGAATGATTCTCGTGTTTGGAATTGGGGATTCGATATTCAAATATGGGCATTCTGGTTGGGATTGTATTGTAGTTGGTGGCGTCCATGAATAAAGAGATGAATCAAAGGATTCCGCTGTTCAATCTTCCATCCAAGATTCTTTGCTGCGTTATTAACATTCACTTTGCTGGTATTCTCTTTTTCTAGTTTTTATGTTATGTTTTAGTTTCTGAGGAATAAAAAACAAGAGATGTTTTTGGATCCTATGTTCTTTATTATTATTTTTTTCTTTTAGGCATTAGGTTTTGTAGATGAATGAAATGGCATTTTTGTCTACACTTTAACTGACTGAAGATATCTTTTTTCTCCATCTCCTAAATAAATTGAACCATTAAAATCACTGATTTGAGGGTAATTTCTCTATTCATTCATTCTTTGCGTAGGCTGAACAAGAAACTGATGAGGTTTTATGCACAAATAGCTTTTGCTTCTTGAAGCAAATGTAAGCTCCAACTTACTCTTCTTCTTTGAGTTATTGGAATGGAAAGCTGGATTTATTTGGTACGGACTGCGGGGTAGTCCAATTGAAATTACTTTATGCTACTGCAGCAAACCGAGCCAAGACCTAAGGGTCACTCATTCTGCAAGGTTTTAACTGCTTCTGATACAAGCAACCCATGGGGGTTTTGCAGTTCTCCGAAAGCATGCCAGTGAATGCCTTCCTCCACTGGTAATATCTTTTAGGTTGTGTGATTTGATTAGCTCCTTTTTTTTTTTCTTTTTTTTTTTGCGACATGATAACCCACTTTATTCAATTTCACATGTGGATCTTCTTTAGTACATGAATCATGAAGAGCTCAAGCAGATGCCTAGTGAATGTTTTACAGTAATGGGTTGGAGCATCATTCAGTGATCTCATTTTTTTTTTTTTTTTTTTTTGAACAAGTACAAATTTGGGAAGGGGGATTTGAACCTAA